AGTGTGAGAGAGTATATGTGTGTGTCTGTGTGTGAGTGTGTATGTGTATGTGTGTGAGTGTCTGAGTGTGTGTTTGTGTGTGTCTATGAGCATGTGTGTGTGTTTTGCTGAAGGAATGTTTGTGTGTTTATGGGTGTGTGTGTGAGAGAGAGTACGTGTGTGTGTATCTGTGAGTGTGTGCGTGTCTGTGAGTGTATGAGAGTGTGTGTGTGCGCCTGTGAGTGTGACAGTGTGTTTGTGTGAGTGAGTCTGAATCTGAGTGTGAGAGAGTGTGTGTGTGTCAGTGTGTGTTTGCCTGTGAGTGTGTGTGAGTGTGTGTGTGTGTGTGAGTGAGAGAGTGTGTGAGAGTGTGTGTGTGAGTGAGAAAGTGTGTGTGTGTGTGAGAGAGATTGTGTGAGAGAGAGTGTATGTGTATGTGTATTGTGTGAGAACGAGTGTGTGTGTGTTGGTGTGTGTGTGTGTATGAGAGAGTGTGTGAGAGGGAGTGTGTGTGTGTGTGTGAGAGCGAGTGTGTGAGAGAGTGTGTGTGTGTGTGTGAGTGTGTGTGCGTGTGTGTGAGTGTGTGTGCATGTGTGTGTGTGTGAGAGTGTGTGTGAGAGAGAGAGTGTGTGTTGTGTGTTTATATGTGTGCATGTGTGTGCGTGTGTGTGAGAGAGAGTGTGTGTGTGAATGTGTGTGTGTGAGTGAGTGTGTGTCTGTGTGTGTGTGTGAGTGAGTGAGTGTGTGTCTGTGTGTGTGTGAGTGTGTGTATTTATACCGAGTGCTTTAACTCACCAGTAATGGACTAAACTCTCACAGTAAATCTGGAAGGTCAGAGTTGGTTAAAATCAAGGAGATAAGTCTCTTACATCACCAAGTCTGAATGAGTGAATGAGTTAAACTGCTCGAGGAGAACATGACACATTTGTGATGTTGGCCAGTGGTCAAGCTGATCATTTGCTGGAGGCTGGACAGTGTCAGCGTTTGAACGCATTGACTATCTTTACTAAGGGGAATTGATACAGAAAAGTTTGCTTCATAATGCAGGTAGCTGGGGAATTAAATCAGCTGATCGTCCAGTAGGAGATCCACTCACGGGACATGGGTGTGACGGGGCTGGGCCAATATTTATCGCCCGTCCCTAGTTGCCCCTTGAGAAGGTGGAGTAGGGCTCCTGATCTGGTCTGCATAAAGGGATTCACTTGTTAGCATTATGTGGGCAATTTGCAGTGCACTTCATTTTAATAAAGAACGTTGAGTGCATCCCCAGAGTAAAACCGAAAGACCAGACAGAGTAGGAATAAAAGCCACCAGCTCTCTGTTATACAATTGAAGTGTCAGTCATTTGGCTCAAGTGAATATCAAACAAGGCGAGTCAATTACCTCGGCTTCTTCGTTTCAGCCGTATTAGCAGCAGAATGAGCACCAAAACGAGAACTCCCACAACGATGGTGATTATTATAACTGTGTTCGGTCCATGAGTAAGATCTGGCAAAATAGATTTGAAATGCACAACCCTACATCGTGAATTAAAACGACAGTCAAAGTGGGTGACATGGGCTGTGTGGTTCAATCAATTGTGGAATAATTATTGGCCTGGACTTTCCAATGGATGGATATCAGCAGCTCTCTCTATCTCTCATAGAACATAGAACATTACAGCGCAGTACAGGCCCTTCGGCCCTCGATGTTGCGCCGACCTGTGAAACCAATCTGAAGCCCATCTAACCTACACTATTCCCTTACATCTGTCTCTCTATCTCTCCCTTTCCCTCTGTCTCTCCCTGTATATCTATCTCTCCCTCTCCCTCTGTCTCTCCCTGTACATCTATCTCTATCTCTCCCTCTCCCTCTATCTCTCCCTGTATATCTATCTCTATCTCTCCCTCTGTCTCTCCCTGTATATCTATTTCTAACTCTCCCTCTCCCTGTATATCTATCTCTATCTCTCTTTCTATCTCTGTCTCTCCCTCTATGTCTACTTCTTCCTCTACTTCTCCCTCTACTTCTCCCTCTGTGTCTATCTCTCCCTCTCCCTCTATCTCCACCTCTCCCTCTATCACTACCTCTATCTCTCCCTCTATCTCCACCTCTGTCTCTCCCTTTATCTCTATCTCTCTCGCCCTCTATCTCTCCTTCTATCTTTATCTGCCCTTCTAGCTCTCCCGCGATCTCCACCTCTATCTCTCTCTCTCTCTATCTCTCCTTCTATCTTTATCTGCCCTTCTATCTTTCCCTCTGTCTCTATCTCTATCTCCCCCTCTATCTTTCTCTTAGTGGCTATCTCTCCCTCTATCTCTAACTTTCTGTCTCCCTCTATCTCTCCATCTACCTCTATCTCTATCCCTATCTCTCCCCTATTTCTCCCCCTATCTCTCCCTCTACCTCTCCCTCTCTCACTCTCCTACGAAGTGATTGTCTATGTCAGGGAATGGTGTTTGCACTGCATTTCCATGAAATCAGTAAAAACGCAGTGAATTTACAATTTGGTTCCCAGTGGGGAAGGCAGCACCGTGTGAGTGAAGAGATACTTGTACCGTAGTGAAATCACAGCGTGAATGATTGAGTGGAATCAGATTGGAGATCTAGGATCAAATCCCATAATGGTGGATGGTGAAATCCAGCTTAAAATTAAATTAGCAGCAAGGTAACCATTGCTAACAAAACCTGTCTGGTTCACTAATGTCCTACAGGGAAGGGAATTTTCTGACTTGGATGTGACTCAAGACCCACAGCTATGTGGTTCTTTCTGAAATAGCCTGAATAATAACAAAATAAAAAGCTATTTTCTGAATGGATCTTATAACACAAGCAGAAGGACAAAGCACATTGGGTTGGTCTCTCCATACATCATAGATTCCCTACAGTGTGGAAACAGGCCCTTCAGCCCAACAAGTCCACACTGAACCTGGGAGCACCCCACCCAGACCCATCCCCTTATAACCCACCTAATCTACACATCCCTGGGCACTATGGGTAATTTAGCACAGCCAATCCACCCTAACCTGCACATCCCTGGGCACTATGGGTAATTTAGCATGGCCAATCCACCCTAACCTGCACATCCCTGGGCACTGTGGGTAATTTAGCATGGCCAATCCACCCTAACCTACACATCTTTGGACTGTGGGAGGAAACCGGAGCCCCCAGAGGAAACTCATGGAGACACAGGGAGAATGTGCAAACTCCACATACACAGTCGCCTGAGGCTGGAATTGAACTCGGGTCCCTGGTGCTGTGAGGCAGCAGTGCTAACCACTGAGCCTCCCTGCCGCCCCAACCACTTCCTGGCTTTTGTGACAGAATTAATCAGAATCTTTTAGCTGTTCTCATCCTCTCAAGGAAGTTCTAATGCCCCGCACATACAGTGATGATTCTGTAATCTTGGGCATATGTGCAGAAATAGCTACATATTTTGTCTCTTTGGAAGAGAAAAGTGCATTTGAAATATGCCTTCATTTTACGGTATATTCTTCTAAATATGTGTAATCCATAAGGCACAAGTCAGGAGTGTGATGGAATACTTGCCCTGGATGGGGGCAGCTCCAACAACACTCAAGAAGTTCGACACCATCCATGACAAACCAGTCCCCACTCGATTGGCACCACATCCACAAACATCCCACTCCCTCCCCCACCGACGCTCAGTAGCAGCAGTGTGTACCATCTACAAGATGCTCTGCAGAAAATCACCAAAGATCCTCAGACAGCACCTTCCAAACTCTACTAGTAAGGCAAGGGCAGGTGATGAATGGGAACACCATACCTTCCAAGTTCCACCAACAAACATGTCACCGTTCCTTCACTGTCACTGTTTCAATATCCTGGAGCTCAAACCTGATTGCACCCACACGTCCTGCACAGCAGGTCATACAAACAGCAAAGATAGTGAGAGCTGCCGATGCTGGAGTCTGAGATAACACAGTGTGGAGCTGGAGGAACACAGTGTGGAGCTGGAGGAACACAGTGTGGGGCTGGAGGAACAGAGTGTGGGGCTGGAGGAACAGAGTGTGGAGCTGGAGGAACAGTATGGGGCTGGAGGAACAGAGTGTGGAGCTGGAGGAACACAGTGTGGATCTGGAGGAACACAGTATGGAGCTGGGGAAACACAGTATGGAGCTGGAGGAACACAATGTGGAGCTGGAAGAACACAATGTGGAGCTGGAAGAACACAGTGTAGAGCTGGATGAACAGAGTGTGGATCTGGAGGAACACAATGTGGAGCTGGGGAAACACAGTATGGAGCTGGAGGAACACAGTTTGGAGCTGGATGAACACAGCGGGCCAGGCAGCATCAGAGGAGCAGAAAAGTTGACCCTTCTTCAGAAATGGGGGAGGGGGAAGGGGGCTCTGAAATAAATAGAGGGGGGGGAGTGGATAGGTGGGAGAGAAGACGGACAGATCCAAGGAGGTGGGGATGAAGGTAGTAAAGGTGAGTGTAGGTAGGAATTTGGGATGGGAGTTGGTCAGTGAGGAGGGAGGGGAGGATAGGTGGGAGGGAAGACAGACAGGTCAATGAGGTGGGGATGAGGGGGGGGTGGGGGCGCTGGTCTCGGGATGAAGCCGGGGGTGGGGAGATTTTTTGAAGCTAGTAAATTCCACATTGAGACCATTGGGTTGTAGGCTCCCGAGGCGGAATATGAGGTGCTGCTCCTCCAGTTTCCAGGTGGCATCATTGTGACACTGGAGGAGGCCCAGGATGGACATGTCATCCAGGGAGTGGGAGGAGGAGTTGAAGTGGTTCGCTGGCAGGTGTTGTTGTTTGTCGCGAACCGAACATAGGTGCTCTACAAGCAGCAAGCTCACCTACACCTTCTCCAGGATTTCATAGGGGAGGTAATAAACGCTGGGCTACAAAGGGACACCCACGTTTGCATGAAAGAACACACATAAGCTGACCCAGAGACGTTCAGGCTGACCAAGAGGTTCCAAGCCAAATAAAACCTCCACAGCATGGCTAACCTCAGTGTAAATTCAGGAGATACAAAACAGTACGGCACAGTACAGGCTCTTCGGCCCACGATGCTGTGCCAAAGGGCCGCTATCTAAACAGGAGGCTGTGAAACAAGGAACGCATCTTTCTGTCATGTCCTTCATGATCTCATTGATAATGTGGGATGAATAAAACGTAATGAAAGACAAGACGAGGATGGTGTTAGAGGGTTGTTTTTCAGACTGGAGGCCTGTGACCAACGGTGTGCCACAAGGATCGGTGCTGGGCCCACTGTTTTTTGTCGATTATATAAATGATTTGGATGTGAACATGGTTAGTAAGTTTGCAGATGACACCAAAATTGGAGGCTGTAGTGGACAGCAAAGAATGTTACCTCAGAGTACAACGGCATCTTGATCAGATGGGCCAATGAGCCAAGGAGCGTCAGATGGAGTTTAATTTAGATAAATGTGAGGTGCTGCATTTTGGAAAGGCACATCAGGGCAGGACTTATACACTTAATGATAAGGTCCTGGGGAGTGTTGCTGAACAAAGAGACCTTGGGGAGCAGGCTCATAGTTCCTTGAAAGTGGAGTCGCAGGTAGACAGGGCGGTGAAGAAGGTGTTTGGTACACTTGCATTTATTGGTCAGTGCATTGAGTATAGGAGTTGGGAGGGTCACGTTGGGGCTGTACAGGACATTGGTTAGGGCCACTTTTGGAATACTGTGTTCAATTCTGGTCTCCCTGCTATAGGAAGGATGTTGTGAAATTTGAAAGGGTTCAGAAAAGATTGACAAGGATGTTGCCAGGGTTGGAGGGTTTGAGCTACAGGGAGAGGCTGCATAGGGTGGGGCTATTTTCCCTGGAGCGTCGGAGGCTGAGGGGTGACGTTATAGAGGTTTATAAACTCATGAGGGGCATGGATATTATGAACAGTCCCTTTTCCCTCAGGGTGGGGGAGTCCAAAACTAGAGGGGCATAGGTTTAAGGTGAGAGGGGAAAGATTGAAAAGGGACCTGAGGGGCAACTTTTTCACGCAGAGGGTGGTGCGTGTATGGAATGAGCTGCCAGAGGAAGTGGTGGAGGCTGGTACAATTACAACATTTAAAAGGCATCTGGATGGGGACATGAATAGGAAGGGTTTAGAGGGATATGGGCCAAATGCTGGCAAATGGGACTAGATTAGTTCAGGATGTATGGTTGATTTGGACCAAAGGGTGTTTTTTCGTGCCATACATCTCTATGAGTCTATGAACAGCCCAGTATTATTCAGCATGGCGAGGGTTAATGCAGGAATAGCCCAAAGTGTGGAGAGAACTGTGCTCACACGTAGGAGGGATGTCTCAGAGCAGGAAATGAGTATTCCATCACAGTCCTGATGAATGAATGAGGAAAAAGGAATCCCCGAGTCTGTGAGTTTTTGAGATAAGGTGCAGAAAACCCCAAAAGATAACGAAAGGTCACCAGACAGTCACAGGTCATAATGCAAAATTCTGTCAGTTCTTGTCGAAGACCAGGGCACTCGCTGGGGTAACTTTAGGTCAAACCCCTGAGATTAGGGGTTGGGGTTTGGAGCTTCTTATCCTTTAGGATATTATACACCATATCATGGTCGCTAATTAGATAGTGAAGTCTTTAAACCACAATGCAGTCCTGTCAGGAAAACACATTAACTTTCGAGATAACAAGGTGTAGAGCTGGATGAACACAGCAGGCCAAGCAGCATCAGAGGAGCAGGAAGGCTGACGTTTCAGGTCTGGACCGTTTCTGAAGGAGGGTCTAGGCCCGAAACGTCAGCTTTCCCGCTCCTCTGATGCTGTTCGTCCAGCTCTACACCTTGTTATCTCAGATTCTTCAGCATCGGCAGTTCCTACTATCTCCCACGTTAGCTTTTAGTTGCCTTCACGCAGCACAGATTTAGCTTCGAATCTGCTTACTTGTAGGAAGGTTGCATTGTTAAAGTTGGTTTGGATTCCTAAACAGTCAGATTTGAAAGATTTGCTTAGTATGTGACACACGTTCTCTGAACGCTAACGTTAGTGACAGATCGATTGCTCTCCAGGAATAGGACGAGTGACTGTATTTTGTGAATAAAAGTCACTGCTGTTTGCAGCGCGGCTCTGAGCCCCTGCCCACAGGCATGGAAGTAAGCCATTGATACCTGGGACTCCCTCCTAAGTGTCGATTCTGACTTTTAAGTCCGTCCTCTTCTCCGTTTGACCAAATGCACCAATTCTTGTTTGGCCTATTGCCCACCGCTGACCACAATCCCTCATGGTTAGCAGAGTGAATGGCCACTGATGGTGTACGTGAGACCGCTGTACGGTGTACCTGAGAAATCGTTCGTTCTTAGCACAACTTCCACTTGGCCCACTCCTGTCCCAACTGCGTTTGCAGCTTCACATATCCAGTTGCCATTTGTCAGAGGGCTCATTTCTCTGATGAACACCCATGAGTTTTTGACCTCCGCTCCTTCTGGTAACCTTGCAAATTACAACAGAAAATAGTCGCAGCAAATTCACATTTACAGTCCTAGAGTCACACTGCATGGAAAACAGAGCCTTCGGTCCAACATGTCCGTACCCAACAGTTATCCTAAATAAATCTAGTCCCATTTGACAGCATATCCCTCTAATCCCTTCCTATTTGTGTACCCATCCAGATGCCTTTTTAAATGTTGTGGCGGTGCTGGTGTTGGACTGGGGTAGACAAGGTCAGAAATCACGCAACACCAGGTTATAGTCCAACAGGTTCATTTGAAAACACAAGCTTTTGGAGCTTCGTTCCTCCTTCAGGTGTTAGTGAAGTGGTATCAGACACAGAATTTATAATAAAAGATCAAAGGGGCACACCACTGATGAGGATGTATTAAACAAACCTAAGATGCTGTTAAATCTTTAATCAGTTAGAAGGTTTTAATCGATTAATATGTATATGTAAATCCCTGAATTCATTTCAAGTCACTGCCCTGAGAGAACTAAAGGTTTTATCAGTGTAAAGAAGAGGTGACATTTTAGGTCAGACAATGCATGTTACATGTGAAGCCTTGTTTAGAATCTGTTTACAGTCAGTCGATGTGGCGTTTGATAAATTCCTACTTTAGAAATAAAACCAGTCTGACTCCAAACCAAAACACAAACAGATTCTAAACAAGGCCTCACACCCTAACATGCATTGTCTGACCTAAAATGTCACCTTTTCTTTACACTGATAAAACCTTTAGTTCTCTCAGGGCGGTGACTTGAAACGAATTCAGGGATTTACATATACATATTAATCAATTAAAACCTTCTAACTGATTAAAGATTTAACAGCATCTTAGGTTTGTTTAATACATCCTCATCAGTGGTGTGCCCCTTTGATCTTTTATTTATAAATTCTGTGTCTGATGCTACCTCTCTCACTAACACCTGAAGGAGGAGTGAGGCTCTGAAAGCTGTCGGACTAAAATCTGGTGTTGTGTAATTTCTGATTTTGTAAATGTTGTAATTGTACCAGTCTCCATTGCTTCCTCTAGCAGCCCATTCCGTACATACACCCCACTCTGCGTGAAAAAGTTCCCCTTTAGATCCCTTTTAAAATCTTTCCCCTCTCACCTTAAACCTATGTCCTGTTAGCTTTGGACTCCCCTATCCTGGGGGTAAAGACCTTGGCTATTCACCCTATCCATGCCCCTCATGATTTTATAAACCTCTGTAAGGCCACCCCTCAGCCTCTGACATTCCAGGGAAAATAGCCCCAGCCCATTCAGCCCCTCCCTGTAGCTCAAACCCTCCGACGTCCTTGTAAATCTTTTTTGAACGCTATCAAGTTTTGCAACATCCTTCCCATAGCAGGGAGACAAGAATTGTATGCAGTATTCCAAAAGTGGCCTCACTAATGCCCTATACCGGCACAATGTGACATCCCAACTCTTGTCGGAATTTCGAAGAATGAAGAGGAATCTTATAGAAACATATAAAATTAAGAAGGGAATAGATGAGACAGAAGCAGGGACGCTCTGTCCACTGGCAGATGAAACTAGAACGAGGGGTATAACCCCAAAATAAGGGGAAGCAGACTCAGGACTGAGTTGAGGAGGAATGTCTTCATCCAATCTGTGGAATTCCCTGCCCAGTGAAGCAGTTGAGGCTACTTTATTGAATGTTTATCAGACAGATTTTTGAACAGTAAAGGAATTAAGGATTACAGTGAACGGGCTGGTAAGTGGAGCTGAGTCCACTTATTGGATGGCAGAGCAGGCTTGAGGGGCCAGACCACTCCTGCCCCATTTTCTTATGTTCTTATACTCAATGTACTGACCAATAAAGGCAAGCGTACCACAGCGGCTCAGTGGTTAGCGCTGCTGCCTCACAGCACGAGGGATCCGGGCTCGATCCCACCCTCAGTCGACTGTCAGTGTGGGTTTCCTCCGGGTGCTCCGGTTTCCTCCCACAGTCCAAAGATGTACAAGTTTGGGTGGATTGGCCGTGGGAAATTGCCCACAGTGTCCAGGTATGTGTAGCTTAGGGAGATGGGTCTGAGTGGGATTCTCTGAGGGTCAGTGTGGACTTGTTGGGCCGAAAGGCCTGTTTCCACACTGTAGGGGTTCTATGAAATAATGATATGAAGCCTTCTTCACCATCCCGTCTAGCTGCGACTCCACTTCCAAGGAGCTATGAACCTGCGCCCCAAGGTCTCTTTGTGGGAGGAAAGGTCTGGTGCCTCCAGGTAACGCAGAGTAATTTAAATATGGGGGTCAGCGAGAGAGAGAGAGAGAGAGAGAGAGAGGGAGAGAGGACAGTTCTTCAGAGTGACCTGTGGATTCCACCATTGCCTGATGACATTGACGAGGAATTCGAGGCTAAGTATCCACTGGGACTATTACTTCGTTCCCAACTTCAGCCAAAGTGGAAACTAATCCCAGGATTTCTGACGCAGAACTTGATTCAACTATCAAGCTCTATGTCTGAAACACTGCTTGGTCGAGGCTGGTTTGACGAGAGAGCAGCCTGTCGTGACTATATCGTTATCTTAGGGCTGAATGGATCAAACGGTTATGGGGACTTGAGAGTCCTACTTCAGGATTTCTTAAGGTTAAACATGCAGGTTCAGTTGGCAGTTAGGAAGGAAAATGTAATATCAGCATTCATTTCAAGAGGGCTAGTTTACGAGAGCAGAGGTGTACTGTATAAGGCTCTGGTCAGACTGCATTTGGAACAATGTGGGCAGTTTTGGGTTCCATATCTTTGCTATATTATGTCTAGCACGGTGGCTCAGTGGTTAGCTCTGCTGCCTCACAGTGCCAGGGACCCGGGTTCAATTCCACCCTCGGGTGACTGTCTGTGTGGAGTTTGCACATTCTCCCCCGTGTCTGCGTGGGTTTTCTCCGGGTGCTCCGGTTTCCTCCCACAGTCCAAAGATGTGCAGGTTAGGGTGGATTGGCCGTGCTAAATTATCCCATAGTGCCCAGGGGTGTGCAGGTTAGGGTGGATTGGCCGTGCTAAATTACCCACAGTGTCCAGGCATGTGTAATCCAGGCGAGGTGAATTAGCCGTGGGAAATGTGAGGTTATGGGGATAGGGTCGGAATCTGGGTGGGATGCCCTTCAAAAGATTGTTGCAAGGGGCTGAATGGCCTCTTTCTGCTCTGCAGAATCCTATCTAAGGAAGGATGTGCTGGCCTTGTAGAGGGTTCAGAGGAGATTCATGAAAACGATCCCGGGGATAAAGGGCTCCTCCCATGAGGAGTGGTTGAGGACTCTGGCTCTGTGGAGTTTAGAAGGAGGAGGGAGTATCTGATTGAAGCTTAGAGAATACTGAGAGGTCTGGATAGAGTGGACATGGAGAAGATGTTTCCATAAGTGGGAGAGACTGGGACCCGAGGGCACAGCCTCAGGGTGAAGGGACGACCCTTTAGAGCTGAGATGAGGAGGAATTTTTTCAGCCAAAGTGGGGTGAATCTTTGAAACTCATTGTCACAGAGGGCTGTGGAATCCAAATTATTGAATGTATTTAAGACAGAGATAGATAGTTTCTCAATGATAGATGAGTAAGGACATGGAGGGTTAGAGGGAGAAGACAAGAGAATGGGGTTGATAGACATAAAGAGACATGATCGAATGGTGGAGCAGGCTCGATGGGCCGAATGGCCTAACTGTGATCCTATATTCTACATTCCTGTATCACAAATAGTATATCAACGCACAATTATCGATACAGTGTAGGAAGTCTACAACATGAATGTCTGAGTGAGTGAATTCCTTTCTGACTTACCCTCGCCACGTGTAATTTGTCGGTTCAGGATTGGCATCTGTGGTACATGTAACAGTAACATTGCGCGTGTTTACATTCCAGGTCCCATCATATCCCGTTATGGTCACTTTTGGTGGATCTACAAAGAAAATAATTCATGGGATCAGTACATCAGAGCCCTCTTCTTAGAAGGAACCAGAGCAATGATTGAAGTGGATGTTGTCACAATGGAAGAAAGTAGTTAGGTTTGTGTCTTTACGATGAGCAATAGAGTCATAGAGTCCTACAGCATGGAAACAGACCCTTTGGCCCATCTAGTCCATGCCGACCATTACCCCAAACTAAACTAGTCCCTGCCTGCTCCTGGCCCATATCCCTCCAAACCGTTCCTATTCATGTACTTATCCAAATGTCTTTTAAACATTGTAACTGTACCCACATCCACAACTTCCTTTGGAAGTTCATTCCACACACGAACCACCCTCTGCGTAAAAAAAATTTGACCCCTCATGTTTTTCTTAAATTTCTCTGTTCTCGCCTTGAAAATGTACCCCCCCGGTCTTGAAATCCCCCATCCTAGGAAAAAGACAACTACCAATAACCCTATCTATATCCGAAAGGATGTAGCCAGGTATGGGGGCTGAATGGCCTGCTTCCACACTGCAAGGATTCTATATAAAATCAAAATCAAACTGCCTGAGCCGTCAGATGTGTTAACAACAGAGGAGTACGGACTTATAACCAGGACATTGCTGCATCCTATCCACTTTCATGTATGCTTCGGAAATCTAGAGATAAAAGACTTAGAAGCGAGTGCACGCTAGAAATTCCATGCCCTCCACACATTTCCTCAAGACGAAGGAAAGAGCACTTGAAATTGCAAGAGGTATGAGGAGTGACAGTCAGGGACTAAAATATTGACTTTCTGCTCACTTGTTCGGAGCTGAAAAGCTGCAGAGATCTGGGGCTTGAGGCTAAAGTGGGGACTGGGCAGGAAGATGCCCCGTCATCATGGATGCCCCAGTGTGTGGGCACAGATGGACTACAGTGGAGATGTACAGATGGTACCAGACTCACTAATGTGGCGTAGCATGAGAGCAGATCTCCAGGCAGGAGTGACTTTGATGAGCATCAGCAAGTGGGAGGGTGTCTCATGTAACAGGTCATCCAATTTTGTGCACTTTCCACAAGTTGTCACAAGGTTATCAAGTATAGAAAATGTTATTTTTAATCTATGAATAATATGCGAATAAAACAGAGGGACCTGATTCAGCTGTGTAAGATTATAAGTCCAGCCCTGATTGCCCCTACCAAAATGCAGCATCTCTCACCTATCTAAATTAAACTCCATCTGCTGATCATCCCATTGTAGTTTAAGCAGGGTTGGAGGGTTTGAGCTACAGTGAGAGGCTGAATAGGCTGGGGCGATTTTCCCTGGAGCGTCAGAGGCTGAGGGGTGACCTTATAGAGGTTTATAAAATCATGGATAGGGTAAATAGGCAAGATCTTTTGCCCAGGGGTGGGGGAGTCCAAAACTAGAGGGGCGTAGGTTTAAGGTGAAAGGGGAAAGATTTGGAAGGGATCCAAGGGGCAACTTTTTCACACAGAGGGTGGGGCGTGTATGGAACGAGCTGCCAGAGGAAGTGGTGGGGGCTGGTACAATTACAACATTTAAAAGGCATCTGGATGGGAACACGGATAGGAAGGGTTTAGAGGGACATGGGCCAAATGCTGGCAAATGGGACTAGATTCATTTAGGATATCTGGTTGGCATGGATGTGAAGGGTCTGTTTCCGTGCTGTACAGCTCTATAACTCTATGACTATTACATGGGGAATGGCCAGGTCGAATAGAAAGCAGTGTAGTTGAAGGGTCAATAACATGGTTGGGGGAGGCAAAGTTTTAAAGTGAAAGGCAGGAGGTTTAGAGGGGATTTGAGGAAAATCTTTTTCACCCAGAGAGTGGTGGGAGTCTGGAATGCACTGCGTAGGAGGGTGGGTGAGGTAGGAAACCTCAGAAGCTTTAAAAAGTACCTAGATGAGAACTTGGAATGATATAACATTCACTTACTGCGGGAAAGTGAGGCGAGTGTAGGTTGTATATTCTTGGCAGTATGGGCGTGAAAGGCCGAATGGCCTCTTCTGTTCTGTATAAATCTTTGATTCTATGAAAACTATAAAGACCTCTATATCATCAAGATATATAATCCAAAAATTAATTTATAACAACGTCAAAGGGACCCATATGTACATAATTCTTCAACATTTAACACACTTTCCGAGTGTGTGCACGCACACATGTGCATGTTTGTGTGTGTGCACACATGTGCATGTTTGTGCGTGTGTGTGTGCGCACACATGTGCATGTTTGTGTGTGTGTGCACGCATGTGTATGTTTGTGTGTGTGTGCATACATGTATGTTTGTGTGTGTGTGTGTGCATGCACATGTGTATGTTTGTGTGTGTGTTGTGAGTGTGCACACGTGTATGTTTGTGTGTGTGTGCACATGTGTATGTTTGTGTGTGTGAGCACATGTGCATCTTGGTGTGTGTGCATGTGTGTGTGCACGTATGTGTATGTTTGTGTGTGTGCATGTGTGTACATATGTGTATGTTTGTGTGTGTGTGCATGCACGTGTATATTTGTGTGTGAGTGAGTGTGTGTATGCGAGTGTGTGTGTATGAGCTACTATGTGTGTGTGCGCGTGTATGTGTATTTTTGTGTGTGCGTGCACGCATGTGTGCGTTTGTGTGTGTGCGTGTGTATGTGTGCACGTCTGAGTACGTTTGTGTGTGTGAGTGTGTGTGCAAGTGTGTGCGTATGAGCTAATATGAGAGTGTGTGTGCGAGCATGTGCACATATGGGTATATTTGTGTGTGTGAGTGAGTGTGTGTGTGTGCACGCGTATGAGTATGTTTGTGTGTGCATGCACGCGTGTGCATATCTTTGTGTGTGTGCGTATGTGTGTGCACGCATGAGTATGTTTGTGTGTATGCACGCATGTGTAGGTTTGTGTGTGTATGCATGTGTGTGCACGTGTGTGTATGTTTGTGTGTGTGCAAGTAGGTGTATGTTTGTGTGTGTGAGTGTGTGTGTGATTGTGTGAGATGTGTGTGTGAGTGTGCGCGTATGTGTATGTTTGTGTGTGTGTGTGCGTGTGTGTTTGTGTGAGTGTGCACGTATGTGTGTGTGTGCTTGCATGTGTATGTTTGTGTGTTTATGTGCATGTGTGTGTGCACGTACGTGTATGTTTGTGTGTGAGTGAGTGTGTGTGTGTGCGAGTGTGTGTGTATGACCTAATGTGAGAGAGTGTGTATGTGTGTGCATGTGCACATATGTGTATGTTTGTGTGTGTGTGTGTGAGTGTGTGTCTGTGTGTGCGTGTATGTGTGTGTGTGTGTGTGTGAGTATGCGTGTAGTGTATGTTTGTATGTGTGGTATGTGTGCACGCATGTGTATGTTTCTGTGTGTGTGTACAAGTGCATGTGCATGTGTGTGTATGTTTGTGTGTGCGTGCACACATGTGTATGTTTGTGTGTGTGTGTGCACATATGTATATCTGTGTGTGTGTGCGTGTGTGTGTGCACATACGTGTATGTTTGTGCATGAGTGGGTGAGTGTGTGTGTGCGTATTTGCATGTGCATGTATGTGTATGTTTGTGTGTGTGTGTGCCTGTATGTGTGTAAATGTGTGTGTGATTGTGCACACGTGTATGTTTGTGAGTGTGCATGTGTGAGCACGCATGTGTGTTTGTGTGTGTGCATGTGTGTCTGCATGTATGTGCGTTTGTGTGTGCACGTATGTATATGTTTGTGTGTGTGTGTGTATGTGTGTGCGAGTGTGTGTGTATGAGCTAATATAAGAGCGTGTGTGTGTGCATGTACACATGTGTGTGTGTGCGCGTACATATGTGTATGTTGTGTGTGAGTATGACCGTATTGTATGTTTGTGTGTGTGTGTGCATGTACGTGTATGTATGTGGGTGAGTGAGTGAGTGTGTGTGTGTGTGTGCACGAGTGAATATGTGAGTTTGCATGTGCGTGTATATGTGCGAGTGAATGTGCATATGTGTGTACATGCACGTATGTATGATTGTGGGCATGTGAGTGTGCTTGTGCATGTGAGCGTTTAAATATGCTGTATGTTTATGTCTGTGCATGTATCATGGGGGTGAGACGCGGTGTTTCAGAGTACATGTGTGTGTGCTAATTTTCTAGAAGTATATCATAGAATCCCTACAGTGTGGGAGTAGGCCATTCAGCCCATTGAGTCCTCATTGTCCCTCCGAATCTGACCCACCCCCGACCCTATCCTTGCATTGCCCATGGCTAACCCACCTAGCCTGCACACTATGGGTAATTTAGCACGGCCAATTCACCCTAACCCGCACATCCCTGGGCACTATGGGTAATTTAGCATGGCCAATCCACCCTAACCTGCACATCCCTGTACACTATGGGTAATTTAGCACGGCCAATCCACCCTAACCTGCACATCCCTGGGCACTATGGGTAATTTAGCACGGCCAAACCACCCTAACCCGCACATCCCTGGGCACTATGGGTAATTTAGCATGGCCAACCCACCCTAACCCGCACATCCCTGGGCACTAGGGTAATTTAGCATGGCCAACCCACCCTAACCTGCACATCCCTGGGCACTATGGGTAATTTAGCACGGCCAATCCACCCTAACCCGCACATCCCTGGGTACTATGGGTAATTTAGCACGGCCAGTGGCTCTGTGGTTAGCACTGCTGCGTCATGGCGCAAGGGACACGGGTTCGATCCCACCCTCGGGCGACTGTCTGTGTGGAGTTTGCACATTCTCCCTGTGTCTGTGTGGGTTTTCTCCGGGTGCTCCAGTTTCCTCCCACAGTCCAAAGATGTGCAGGTTAGGGTGGTTTGGCCGTGCTAAATTACCCATAGTGCACAGGGATGTGCAGGTTAGGGTGGTTTGGCCGTGCTAAATTACCCATAGTGTCCAGGGATGTGCGGGTTAGGGTGGATTGGCCGTGCTAAATTACCCATAGTGTACAGGGATGTGCGGGTTAGGGTGGATTGGCCATGCTAAATCACCCATAGTGCCCAGGGATGTGCAGGCTGGGTGGGTTAGTCAGGGGACATGTGGGTAACAGGAATAGGTTGGGGGGTGATTCTGGGTTGGATGCTCATGATGGGCTAAATGGCCTGCTTTCACACTGTAGGGAATCTACGATCGCATTGATCTACGTTGATCGCATTGATCTACGTTAATCGCTTCTCATACTCATCCTCTTAGCTATAGTCTGTCTTTGGACATGAGACTTACAGAAGATGGACAGCTGTACAGGGTATTCACCCGTGCTGTTTGTTGCTGAGTGAGTGATGCGACATGTCAATGTCTTCCCATTATCTGAAGGACGTGGTGTCATCTTGTACTCGCTGGAGACAGTCACTGTATTGTTGCCGTTTACAACATGGTTCATGGTGTGGTTCCCCAGGAAACTGGATATCCAATTGATCTCAGCTGCTGGGGTCCCAAAGGCCGAGGTACACAGAGCCACAGGAACGTCGGAGAGACCAGCCTTGGCAGTTATCGATGATGCTGCGTTGGTGGGAATCGCTGTCAGAGATAAAAGAGAAATGAGTTCAATGTCTGCTTCAGTCACTTCAAAGAGCATTTTAGCCTGCCACGTTGGGCACGGTGGCTCAGTGGTTAGCCCTGCTGCCTCACAGCACCAGGGACCCGGGTTCAAACCCAGCCTCGGGTGGCTGTCTGTGTGGAGTTGTCTTGTTCCCCCTGTGTCTGCGTCATAGACTCATGCAGCACGGAAACAGATGCTTCGCTCCTACTCATCTGCACCGAGCAGACATCTTAATCTGACTGAGTCGCATTTGGCCCATAACCCTTCCTGCTCATGTCCCCATCCAGATGCCTTTTAAATGTTGTAATTGTACCAGCCTCCACCACTTCCTCTGGCAGCTCATTCCATACACGCACCACCCTCTGCATGAAAAAACTGCCCCTCAGGTCCCTTTAAAATCTTTCCCCTCTCACCTTAAACCTACCTCCCCACCCCCCACCACCCCCGCCCCCCACACACACTGGGGATGTTCAAAGTCGCTGTAAGAGGATGCTTTCTCCTCTGGGGGCAATCTGGGCAGAGAGGTCATAGTTTTTAGAATAAGACAGATTTAACACAGAGAGAGAGAAGGGGAAATGACTTCACTCAAAGGGTTGTGAATCTGTAGAATGCACTCCCCAGAGTGTGGCAGACGCTGGGACACTGAGTAAATTCGAGGAGGAGGTGGACAGACTTTTAATTCATAACAAGTAGAAGCGTTAC